ACTATTAGTCTTTAGATTAATTTAGATTTTTTGTAATAAAGTTTCTACTATGGCATTATATTAATAAAAAAAAAAAAAAAAAAAATATCCTGAGATTGTTTTGATGCTTTATAAATTAAATGTTTATACATGAGGAAATGGCTATGAAAAAAAGATGAACAGCTACAAATCCAGTGATCTAGATCAATGAAATATTAGTCTTCTGCATTATTAAATAGTTTGGTATGAAGGTTTTTTCATTGTTTTTTAAATTCCTCAAACCAGGATGGATTTATTCTACCAGATAGTAGTTGCTAAAGTCGGTTGGCCTGATTAGGTATAATACATGAACAGATGATCCATATTAAATAGTCAAGTCATGAGTAGCTAAGATGAGAAAAGTAACAATGTTTTAACACTTGTCAGTGTGCTTCAACCATATTATTAGTTTTGTCTAGCAGTATTATCATTCAGGTAAAACATGCCCAAAGACACCACCATGTTGGTTTATACTAAGAAGACCATAGATAAGTCCATAGTATTGCAAGATTATTTGTAGCACAAAACTTATATATTTCAGTAACTGATTTGATTCTTATTTCATTAGAGGACAAAAATTCTCTATTAATATTAACAGGAATTTTAGAATACATATTGAAATGGGTTTTAACCATTTCAACAACAGTATTACGAAGGTCAGGTGGCCAAACAATATAATACTCATTATCTGTTCATTGCAAATCGGGTATAAAAAATGGATCGACAAAGCTAAATTCTTTTATAACTTCTTCATAGTTATAATTTATATGCTCAATCTTTTTATAACTTCTAAGTTTTTCTTTAATGGCCTTTTCAATATGCCATAAACACAGCTGCACGTCAGTTGTGGGCTATATGTTTTTTGCGGCAGTTATCTTGGTGAAATCTTTATTAGTATAAAAATGAATAGGATTTAATCCTTTATTACAAAGAGAGTAAAAAAAGCTGGTAAGCACTTTAGTTCGTAGTCCTTGTTGTTCTTTATTTCTAGGGGCTTTTGTAGTATCCAAGATTAAATAAGCTAGTGGAAAACCAGCGCCTCAGTAAAAAAAAATTAAGAATATTATCATTTAGAAAAAAAAAAAGATTAAAAAAAAATAAGAATAAAGAAAAAAAAATTTTTTCCACACCTTCAACATTACCGACAAGGCCATAAAGTTCGAATTGTCCCTTGAAAGTCTTATAAGTGGCATCACAATAAACTTCCGTATAATAATATTTTTCAAGTAGACATGTTATAAAGCCAATAGCAGTCGTATTATCTGTTTCAAGCTGGAAACATAAAGCATAATAATTATCATGTTGGTCAAAAAACTTAAGTGCTGAAATAATGTGATTTTCATCACTTTTGTAGAATTGTTGAGTATAATACGACCAACAGTAGTGGATTTGCTTAGATGTAACAGTTGATATATCAAATCTTTTGTGAAGATGATGTCATAATTCTACAGAACCCAAATGTAGATTTTCACTAATCTCTTGTTTTATTTCACTTGGCATTGTAACCTCAATAGATTTGTCATGTTGAAGGTCATGTTTAAAGATTACTTTAGCTTTTGCTGCCAGAATATCAATTTTAATTGATACTTTACCACCATAGTTGTAGTGGTAAATTCTTTTGCAACCTGATTTTTTAAATTCACGTTCAAATTCATCACTTTGAAAACATAAAAAATATATATTTCCAACACTATCATAATGAGCTGAAAGTTTTGGCACAGTTGTAGCACTATGTTTGTAGATAAATTGGCTATTAGCATCTGGTTAAACAAGATAACATATTTGTATCTATTATAGTATATCAATTAGAAGACCAAAATTTTAGTACAAGATATGGGATTGATATTTAAAAAAAAATTTAATACCTTATCTTTCACAGCTCATATCTTGATGAATTTTGAAGCATTTGAATTAATTAATATTTAAAAGAAAAGCTTAATATCTAAGCTTTCTTTAAATATTAATTAATCAAGATGGCTTCAAAATTTATCAAGGTATGAGCTGTGAAAGTTAAAGTATTAATATTTTTTTTAAAATGTCAATCTGCTTGATTTCTATTGATGACAGCCCATATATACTAAATAAAAGAGATTATAAAATACCCAGAAGTATTTTAAACACATTGTGTTTATGCATTAAAGTTGGTAAAATATACGGTATATATATGTTATATAAATACTTGGGTATTTTATATAAAAAAAAAATCTTTTAATCAATTTGGTATAATAGATATGTATTTATACATACATCTAAATGTAGCCGTCATCTTCTTCTATTTCGTCGATGATTAATTTAGCCATGAGTTTAACATTTGTACTAACTTCACTAAGCGTATTCTCATCAAGTCAAATATAAAAAGTAAGAGAAAGCTTGGTATGATTTTCTAGATTATCAGTTGCATTCGCGATATAGTCACTAACTTCATGTATTAAAATCATCTCAACAAATGTTTCTAGATTGCTTTGGTTAGTAGTTCTCGCACATCTATAGCTATTACAAGTCTTATAGTTTTTGCTCTCATATATGAATGCATCAGAAGGAAGAATACGCCCACAAGTGCTACAATCAGGCATTGGAAACTGGAAAGATATTATAGATGTGTTTTATTACTGCGGATAGTATAGTCAAATTAATTTAGTTGAAGATTTTGGATACAGAATAGAGACAAATGCAAGTAATTTGTACGATTTATTAATTTAAAGTTGTCAATCTAGTAACAATAAGCGATGTTTTGGAAATGATAATAATCAGGAAAGTAATTTGGTTGTTTATAATTTAAATGAGTTTAAAAAATTCTGATGCTTTTAAAAGCTTTTTTTTAAGTAGCAAACTAAATATTGAGGTACTATTTAGTTTCACATTCAACTCTATTCCAAATGATATGCTTGAAACAGACGAATGATCAAAATGCACATAAAGCAAATGATTTATTAATTGATCTGAACTTCTAGAGATAGTCAATGCACATTAATTAGACAATTTATTGATTCAAATACGAAATTTTGTTTTTCTATTTCTAAACTAATTTGATTCGAATTCGTGTTAATTTAAAAACAATTAATAAATCATTCGGTTGCTAAGCCAATTCAAATAAGTTATACTAATTAAAAAATATTTATAATACGAATTGTGTTTAACCCTTTGCAATATTATTCAATTGTTTCATTTAACAATAATTATTGTTTTATTCATACTTAAATTTACGAAATTATATAGCGATAGAATATTAAATTTATATTTGAGTTTTAAACAAGTTAATTGATTTAACATTCATATAAAAGTGTATGTAATTAATAAATTACTAAACTAGGAAACTTATAAGAATTATATGTATAAAGAAGTGACAAATTATAAATGGCTTTTTAGATTAGCTTTTTATACTTAAAATTTAATAAAATTTATCAGATGTATAACACAAAAGCTCATATATTACTGAAACGACGTTACTAATTCAATTTCAAGGGCCAAAGCCAGTAAAAGTCTTCTATATTGTCGTGAAATAATTCCTGAAGCATTATAATTAGACGAAGCAAAGTAAATTTTCTGGTTTTCATATCATATATAATTTTAAATGACCCACCAACCCGGATTTTATTTTGCTATAATAAAAAATTTTTTTTATTTTTATTTTAAAAATTTTATTTAAAAAATGTTATTTAAAAAAAATATATTTAATATCGAAAAAAATTTAATATTTATAAATGTATACATATATATTTAATATTTAAAAAATATAAATACTTCAGAAAAATTAAGAATAATCGTGCAACACATACATCAATAAAGCAAATACGATAATACTGTGCAAAATCAACAACGTATCCTTTTTTTCAAAAAAAATCGTATCCTTTTTTAATAGAAAAAGGTAATACACATATCACGAACATGTGCCTGCTAATTAAATAAAACCCAAAAAATAAACTATTAAGTGTGATAATGATTACGATTAGACTTGTTAGCAAAAGGTGTTTACTTATTACTCCTTTTATAACTGCCTGGCTTCCATTTCTGTCATTTTTTTGGTATTATATTGCCACCACAGTTACCACATAGTAGTTGCTTATGCTTTTCCTCAGGTTTATGGGTTTCTTTACTTCCACATTGATAGCAAATGATAGGATATATTCTAGCGGAGTAATATGGCTTCTCAACAGGTGAGTTACATGACCACGAATCATTGACAAAAACTTTTTCAAAGATTTTTTGAATTGGATCTTCTAACACAGTTGTAATTTCAGTATCAGAATTATCGTTACATATATATTCGGATTCACTATCGGCTTCATTATCGGATTCACTACCAGATCCACCAATGGATTCATAATCGTAATTCTACATATTTTTTTTTTTTTTGTTTCAATGAATTCTTTTCACCTTATTGCTATTTCAACATACACATACCTCTGAAAAATAGCTTGGTCCTGTGGATTTATCACCCTCATTTTCACTATATCTTCAACCATCATGCATTCATTTGTTATGTTTGTTGGTTGTTTCGTTATAGCATTGACTGGATCACAAACGCTGTTGAAAGACATTCCACAAGTATATAAAATAGTATCAAAAAAGGTTTTTAATATTTGCTGTTCATTTTTTAAAAGTTTTTTAGCACTAAATAAAAGGCGTGGCTTTCCACATTCAATACAAGTAACCATAATACCAACATTTTTTGCCCGAGCTGCAGTAGGGCAAAATGGCATAGTATGACTTCCTCTTGGACTAGCAGTCTTTGATTTGCTTACTTTTGATTTTCGCAACTTAGCTTCTTTAAGTGAAGACCTATGTTCTTCACTCGTAGCTGTTCCATATAGTTCATCAAACGATTTATAATGAAAGTCTTTGCCTGAAACTGGGTCAGGAAGACAGTAAAGTTGTTCGAATTCTTCTTGGGAACAACGAGGTGGTCTGCATATTGTGCAATTATCCTTTTCACACTTTTTGATTGCAAAAAAATAATGCTGTGACACGCAGCAATGCTCCATAAATTCCATTAATTGTGTCTGTTCAAAAAAGTTTTAGTATTTTTCTTATTTAACATATTTCTAATAAAATACTTACTCTATTTTTTATATTTTTTGCCATACGATCATCTCGAGATACAGAATCATCAACTAATTTTATCGTTTCCCAAAATTGGTCAATTTCTTCCTCCACTGCTGCATCAAAGGTTTTAAATAGCATCTCCTTTAGAGATTGGTGCTCAAATATATTGCGAACAAGATTAATTGGCTGTTGGATACTCTCAATCAATGCAGTTTTTAAAGTAGGATGGTTTTTCACTATATTATGAATTTCATTCATTGTACCCACTTTGCTAATTAATGCTTCAAACTCATCGTCCATTTTACTACGCATTAGACCAACACATTGTAATCCAAGATTAAGAGTAGACATTACACGTTCAATAGGGTTTTTCCATGAGTGCTGCGGTGGTGTTCTTACAGCAATGAAATAGTCAAGATCCAGTGCTAAAAAAAGACAAATATATGAAATTTGCACCTGTGCAAATATGTAGCGATGGTCAGGACCACCGTCAGTGTAAGGGCATAATATAGATTTATTATTAATATTTTCATTAAGCAAAATATTATATAGCTCAGTTGCATGGCGTAATGGTGATGAAGGCTGAAAAATAGGTTCTTTTAGTCCTATATACACTTGGCCCGCATAAAAGTCTCCACTAATTGATTCTGGAATAGTGCATATCATAGAAACACTTGGCACTATTCCAGTTTTGGTATAATCATGATCTCCAACTATAAATGCTCATCTTTACTAACAATAACTCACTTTCCTCTTTCTACAGCTACAACAGAAAACTCCAGCTCTCCAACTTTACATCTGTGTTTGTCATCCAAGAATGCAAGCATCGTAATATCACGAAATTTTACTGCAAATTCTTTTTCATATCGAAAAAGTGCCGATGCATAATGTGCATCTGGATGATGAGCACGAAGTTGTCGTGTCTGTACCATAAATTTAAGAGGCAACCAGCCCACATATTGCAAGCTAGAAAGAGTAGTCAGATTCTTGGGCCAAAATTGTAATCGTAACCATTGCACACTTGGAATTAATACATCAGGTGAATATTCATTTTTTATTTGGAGCTATAAATCATTCACAGAAATTGCCGTAGCTAAATGCACAATTATATCATGACGACGTTCATCAATAGCAGTAACTAATTCAGCAGCTTTAATTTCAAGAAAGTGGCTTGCAATGTCCCAAAATTCATTGTATTTTTCGGGTCTTCCATTATTATATTCGCGCAAGTCAAATACAATATCAGGATTACCTAAGTTTAAAGCCAACTTAATACGTGCATCCACTTCTGCTTCATTGGCTGATTCTGCTGCAGATGTATCGCCAGTTAACATTCTGTAAATAGCACGAAGTGGAGACACTTTTACTTTTGGAAGGAGCAAGTCACATGTACATATATAATTAATCCTCATTGCTTGTGTGTGATATTTTGGGGCTTCATTTCGAAGTTGATTCACGATATTTATATTATTTTGAAACACTTGTTCTTCACTCAAATTCTCATCAATTTTCCAAATTAAAGTGGCATGAAATGTATTATTTCCAGAATTAAAACGATACTCCCCAACTTTAAATACAAATGCATGCTGCAAGCCTTGTAGATATCGCATTCTTTGTCTAAATATAAGAGATGTTATAACATTAAATTAAAAATGTATATACATACATACAGCACATACAAGAAACATACAGCGCGTTAACTAGCAAATATTCCTCTAAGTTAAGTGGTTTCCAATATTCCATACATGATAATATATATTCCAACTGTTGATATTTAATTTTATCTGTCGGGGTAATCCAAATATTATGCTCATGAATTTTAACTGTTATTGCTTTTTCAGAACTTCAGACATAATTATCCAATGTATGATTTTTTGCCGTGATTTCTTGTTGTTGTAAAAATCCAACATATTGTGATAGTACTATGACAAAATTGTCAAGAGGTTCACGTAACCAACTAAATGCTGCAGAAAACATCCATGGAAATACAACGTAAGGAGCCAAAGCCTGACAATGAATATTTAATTCCTGTGCATTAAAAGGTTTTCGTGCTTCTTTGTATGATTCTGGATCAGCTCGATTAAAAAACTCCATAAAAATATCTGGAATATGGTAACTACGATTTTCTAATTTATCATAACTGCATATATCAACATACCAGATTGTTTCCGTAAGACTTGTAATAAATTCTTTTCCTTGACTATTAGCATATTCTTCTGATTTCCATCCTCCACCATGCTGGTATATCTATTTTACAATATCACATTGCAATAGTTGTTTTCGGTTTGGTTTTTTATAGTGTGAAAAGTTTGGTAAATAAAGTTGTTTGCCTTTATTTCTCGCAGATTGCATAAAAACATTGAAACTATTTTGTGGTGTTGAATATATAGTTGAATCTATCTCATCTTCTAGATAAAAATGAATATTAGCGCCAAATGTATTCAGAAGTTCGATAATATTACAATCTTGGCTTGCTTGAATAACAGCACTGGTAGGTGTTTGACTTATTTCAACACATTTAACTTTTTCAGAGATACTTAAATCAAATAAAGAATCGGAGGATATTTCACCATATACAAGTTTTTCAAAAAAGTCTCTAACAGTCATTTCATGCGGAATCGGATAAATATGCCAATCATAAAGTGTTTTTATACCTTTTATAATACGTGTATTGGCAAAAGGTATCGTAAAAAAATTTTATTTGATATGGTTGGTTCAAAGGTTGATTTTTTTTTTGTTTTTGTATGTATTAAAAATAAGGCGTTTAAAGAAAGTATTATTTTTATTAATTCATATGTGAATTCTTCAGTAATTTTAAAGTTAAAATGCCAAATTGTACATATTACTAATATCACTCTTTATTTATAAGAATCTCAAATATATTTTTGCAAACTATAGAGCCTGGCGTTATCTTGTTACTTTATCCATCTATCAATCTGTGGCATAACAATATATTGACGTTATTATTCTTCTGTTTGCAGATTTCACATGCTAAGCAGAATAAATGAATTAGTATTAAATGAGTGCGTGAGAGCGAAAACTTGCAGTTGCATAACTATGATAAGTTTCAGGTTTTCATTCTCATGCAAAATTAGCCACGATCATATGTACATACACATTAACTTAGTCTTTTGTACATATGTATATACTTATCGTTATTATAACATATAATCAGCAATCATGTTTCTTCAATAAAGTTAACATATAAGATAACGATAAGTTTGATTTATTGTTATTGTCGTTATTCTTTCAAAGATTGAGCTTATACAGTTGCTATTATTCCTAACACTGTTAGAGAGAATTCAGATAAGTACAATTTTAATTGGTTGCTTTATTTAGATTATGACAATCGTTAGCGATAGCTCTATTGTTAAATTAGACATGTCCAAATAAACATACTATGTACATACGTGCATATATGCAATGCTTTTATTTATTCAAACCGATTATGTAATACTCTATAAGTGCACATTATTGAGGATAGAGAAAGAGAAAATAACATGACTTAGCATTAAATAAATTAATTCTATCTATATATATATCATCAATTACATTATATTACACAGAATTTAGAAGTGCATTTATAGTTTGTATATACTGTACTGAATTTTGATTGGTTATTAAATAAAAAATTTTAAATTTTAAATTAGCAAAAATTGACCTGGCCGGGATATGAAAACCAGAAAATTTACTTTGCTTCGCCTAATATATATCGATATATGATTTTTTTTTATACATAAAATTTATTAACTATGATAAAGTTAAAACTATCAATTCAGAAAAAAATTTAAATAACTGGTCGCTTGTGGATATTACTAATGTATTTCAAAATTCGAATGGCATTTTAAATTTTTAATAAAGAATTAAATATCACGTAGATTATACATCACATGTATGCATAAATAGTATTTTAAAAATTGATCTACATTATTTGTCACAAAAATGTGTCACATGGAACACAAAACAAGATCGACCAATCAATGGATTTTTATACATGCTACAATTCGTAGAAATGAAATTGTTATTTCGTGATTATTAATAATCACATGATCTGAAACTTTTTGGGTGGTGATTTAAACCCGGTTCAAATATAGTTGAGTTAAAATAATAAGCAAGTAGTCTCTTTATTCCGATTCGTAATTCTGCACAGTAATACCCCAAAAACTTTGAATTTCATTGAATTTGATCAAGTGATTGTCGAGATATCTTTTGCTCAAAGTTTTAAAAAATGCCTATCAAAGTAAAGAAGCTGCGCCAAATTTTTTAAAACCTTGAGCGAAGAAATCTCGACAACCACTTGATCAAATTCGATGAATTAGATGAATTTTTTTTTTTTTTGAATTCTCTAGACTATGTAATAAATAAAAAATTCTCATCAATTTCATCGAATTTGATCAAATGGTTGTCGAGATATCTTCGTTCAAAGTTTAAAAAAAAAATTTGGTGCCAGCTTTATTTGATAGGCGTTTTGATTTTTTTTAAAACTTGCAAAGATATCTCGATAAATTTGATGAAAATTTTTTTATTTGAATTCTATGACTAAAGGATTCAAATAAAAAAAATTTCATCGAGTTTGATCAAGTGGTTGTCGCAATATCGTTCAAATTTTAAAAAAATTTGGCCGGTCACGGCAGATCCTCGCTAACGGCCGAGGATCTTCAAAATTTTGGCCCGCATTACATAATTGTTTACTAATTTCCGGCCGGAATTAACTTTTTTTGATCGTCACACTTCAATCAAAGTCGAGAATCTGCTGTGACAATTTTGTTGCGGCAGCTATGGTTAATTTTATGTCGCGGATGATCGTAAAATCCGGATTATAAATTTTTTGGTTATGCTTTTTTTGAATCCGGACTAGTATTAGGGTTAGGGTTTATAATAAAAGAGTATAAGTAGGTTTTGTTAGGGTTGTGAGGGCTTATATTTTTAAATTAATTTTTTATTTTGATTATATGAGTCGAATAAAAAAATGGAATTTTCGAAATAACGCCCATGTGTGATATTACGCGCCTATACGACACTATATTTTTGAACACAAATATAAACATCTAGTTCAGTCTAAGCCTGAGTAACAATACTGAATTACAGGTATAGCAACTAATATAAATCTAATCATTGACTCGACTTTTACATTTTTTGATATATAGCTACAGCCATCAAAATTATAAACTTTATTTTATATAGTGCGTGCTTCAGGCACAATAAGAGAGGCATGCTTCAAGCAGGGGTGTGCCCCAAAAATTTTGTGCTCAAATCTAGTCAAAACAACGTTTCGCATTATAAATAACCCACAATCAAAAAAAAGAATTCATCCAATAATATAGTCAGCGACAAATCCAGTTAATAAAGCGGTTGTCAAAGAAGAGACAAAATTAACCTATTGTTAATGATAATTAGAATGACAAAAATAAATAAAAAATAAAACAAAATAAAATTTCTACCTGATTATTATCTAATAAATCGTATCCGCTCACTAACTTGGTTTCCTCAGTCTTATTATGAGTAATCTTTTGCGATTTTGCAGAATATAGCGAAATTTGGACAGTTGCACCCAATATTGAATCTATAATTGATCCAATTAGTCCTGCTATTGAAGCAACCGGAATTAATTCAATATATAGTCGATTACATCCATCCGCAAAATAAATGGATATCATAGCAGATGTGCCGATAATAAAACCACCCAAAACAGAAGCGAATAAACCTAACGGAGATACACCTCCGTTTGTCCCTGGGGGAACCTAAAAAAAATTTCCGATTGAATGAATTGTTAAAGAATGACAATGCAAAATACGCGCTTACCTTTTTAAATGTAGTTATTAAAATGGGCCAACTTTTATTAAGAATGCCAAGTTCGCTGGCCCACTACAATAAACGTCAATATTTGATTTATTAACCTGCATCAAATGTTAATATAAACAAAAAGTAGCTTCAGGATCCCTTATGACCATAATTTGCGGCTTAGTACTTCAGAGAGGTTTCCTTGAAAATTTTGTGTCACGAAATTTAGAATTTTTGTTATGAATAATCCATGGGCACTAAGGATCATTTCATAACAAAGACTAAATTTCGTGAATGTAAAAAAATATTCAGGCAACGACATGCCATCAAAGTAATGACCAGTAAAATTACGAAAGAGCAAGTCCTGAAATTCTACAAACCAAAAAATAGAGATTTTACCGTATCTCCATTACACGTCGAATAATGTCTATCGTATTATTGACAGTTATAAACAGCAATCAACTTATAATGTAGAACCAGAGAAAATTATACTACATATAGTAAGTCTTACCCGATATATATCCAAAATAACAGTCTTGACCCATGATCGTCTAGCAAACATTTTAAATGTCCACCATAATAATATTGATGAATTATGCAAATAATTGTTCCCGTAAGAGCATTGCATATAACTTGCATAGCAGTTCTTTGACCGCCTACATGTAATAAAAAATTCAATATTATGTGTCCTCGAAATTCATGAGCCTAGCTTAATCGGCAGTTTGCTTAGAAGTTTCACACACCCTCCTGATAATCTTCCCCAAGTTGTTTTTTTCTTTCCGCCTTATACTAAGATCAAATATATATAAAAGAAAAAATAAATCAGGTAAAAACAAGCAAATAGTCAAACCACTGACAGTAACTTACCTTAGTTAGCCTAGATCCGGTAAAATAAAATACGAGCAACGCAACCGTAAATGCAAGCCAATCATTGGACAAAGTGGCAGTACCTACTAAAAAAGCACACAATGCACCAGACTTTGATAGCGAATTTTTACGTAAACCATCGAATACTATTGCCAACGATATTATGACGGCTATTAATATGTGCATTTTTTTCCTGAAACAAGGGACTATGATTTAATAAAGTCTATGCTACATATGGGCGGATTTTGCGATTTTGGTGATATTATCGAATAAGATCTTCAAAATTTGTACCAATCAGATTAGTAACA